GGGGGGGGGGGGGGGAAGTGTAATTACACTCTCTATTTCTCAGGAGAGAGGGGCGAGAGAAGGGGGAGTTGAAAATTGCTGGTAATTACCTGATGTACTTACAAGGTTATTTTTTTGAATCTCTTTTCTTTTGTTTTTGATTTATTTTTATTATTTATTCTTTTAAATATGTTTTTTCTTATAACTTTTGAATTTCTTCAAATATTATTCTTTTTACATTATTTATCTTTTATTTTCTTATTTCTTAGTTTCCAAATTTGCTTCACAGTGTTTTTATGCATAATTTCTCATGCTTTGTTTCTTTCTTAATTATTTTTATTGCGCTTAACTATTTTATTTTTCCAAAAAATTATACAACGTAGGGTGTTTTTGGTATAATGAAAAATATTTTCTTGAAAAATAAGTAGTAATCTAGGAAAATATTTTCTCAAGAGTATTCATAAATAATTTTGATACAATAAACATGAAGCCATAAACTTTCGAACCAAAAACCTTCCGAACCCACAAATTTCATGAACTTCTGAACCGCAAAACTTTCGAAATCGCGAAATTTTGAACCCGTAAATTTCGAAACACTAACCTCTGAACTCATAACTTTGGAACTTGTAAAATTTCGAACCTGTAAACCGAAAGATGAAAAAAAATAAAACTGAAAATATATATATATAAAAAAAAATTCCGGAAAGGAGGAGGGGGGAGGTGGGGCAGAGCAGTGGGTTGGGTGGGGNCAACTTTGAATTGGATCAACTGGAAAGTCCATAAGGACACGTCTGCCACCTCAATTCCATTTAGAATGGGATTCATAATCCTCTCTATATGGAAGTATTGTACTCCATATGGCATTGGACTTGCACGTGAAGTCAATGCCTTAATTAACCCGTTCCTACCCCATTTGGAAAAGGTTAGTAACTAAGGTATATGTCAGTATAAATATACATGAAGGCTTCACGTAGGAGGGTTAGATTGAACGAAAGAAAAGGTCACAAAATGAGAGATACGTTGCTGACGAGAAAATTGTCTTCTTGTCCTGCTGCTACTACGCTGAAAGTTTTGGAGAAATTTATCAGCATAGTATTTTGTTCAATTTGCTCGCGAGTTTCATTGATCAAAGAGTTGATAGCAAGGATCGGTCTTGGTGTAGATACGCATAGAATCTTCGCACTATCGAAGAAGATTTTTGAAACAAGACTTTCTTCACCAGGTATATCACTTTGTATCGGTTTACAACACAATTTTTGGACGCCCGTGTATATCACATTGTATTTCGTATATATAATACAAATTTTCATGGATATACACATATACATATAATATACATGAGATATCACTGATGTACATAAAAATAAAAATATAATTGTGAGAGAAAATATTATTTTAGTATACAAAAAAAACTAATTTTTGATGTACACAAAGAAGAAAAATAAACTTATGATATCTATTTTGGTATACATATGTCCGATGTGCTATACACTGTGATATACAGATAATATAGTATTTTTATTGTAATATATATTGATATAAATGCAGTAATAACTATATATATAATTTTATATTGTTGATATACAAAGGATAATATTATTTATATACAAATAATGATAATAAAATTTTAATATACATGTTGGTAGGGGTGTTCATGGTTCGGTTTGGATCGGTTTTCCCCTAAAAAGAAACCAAACCAAGTAAGTCGGTTTTTCAAATATTAGAACCAAACCGAACCAATTAAGTCGGTTTTTTCTCGGTTCGGTTTATGTCCGTTTTTTGGTTATTTCGGTTATTTGTCGGTTTTTTCTTAAATATAAGACATATACTACCAAACACATATTTCAGCGACCACATTTTTAACGTAACACTATCAAATCAATTGCTCTTTGAGAAATCTATTATTTACCAAGATATATTGATGATAATTGAATTAAATAGTGATGAATAATTTAAGGACTCAATTAAAAATATATTATTTTTAACATGAAATAGATTCTTACACTTAACAAAAGAAAACTACCAATCCAACTAGAATGTAAAGGTAAAAAACTGTACTAAAAGTGCAAACGATTAACATTTACCATAAAATTTTTGACACTCTGTATAAAAGTATACATATATATAGGTGTAATTCTAAATTTAAAATAGCTACTCCTATATTTGGTTTGGTTCGGTTTTTTTTAATAAAACCAAATCCAAACCAAATTTGATCAGTTTTTAAATTTCAAACCAAAACCAAACCAAACCAAAAAGTATCGATTTTTTTGGTCGGTTTGGTTTAGTTCGGTTTTTCGGATTTTTATTAACACCCCTACATGTTGGTATAGACAAAGAAGAAGAAAAAGTTACGATATACATATTGTTATTGTGATATATATATATATTGGCTATTTTCTGCCAATATCTATAACTATGACTATTTTCTGCCAATTATATGATTATGTTGTTATACCATGCCAAAACCTCCTAACCTTACGCCCGTTTTCTTTCTCAACTACAAGATTTTATCCGGTCATTCTGGGCCTTTGAAACAGTTGGCATGCTGTAATTCTACTCCTTCATAGATATGTTTTCATATAATTGGCCTTCTAATAATTATATTATATAAATTTTCTTAAGATATCTTTATTGATATAATGTGCTTTTTATTTACTGAATACCTTTTTAAATGATTTAATGTTGGAATCTCTCATAACGAGGTAATACTCATATATAATATACTAAGTTGATGCAGCCCGTGCCAGCACGGGCCCAACATTATTTAACTTTGAACGATATCTAATTGCAAATAAATTAATGTTGCAAGTATCGAGTAGACAATATTTCATGCTAAGTGATACATACATAATTTGCATATATTTTAACCAAAATATACATTGTTTGCGTCCATGAAAGCATTACATTAAGGGATATTTAAAGTGCCACAATGTTTACAACATATATGACAATACTATTTACATATGCGGTCTTTGGTCTTCTTTCTGACTAGTTCTTAGACAAAGATATCTGCAAACAAATAAATTTGTATGGTAATTAGAGAAAGTTAGAGTACATATGAAACAG